ACAGAAACCCATCCAGACATAAATACATACACATGTAAAATGAATGTAAAAATAGCTACAGGAAAGGAGTGAAGATTCCCAACACACAGAAATGAAAATATTTGAGAAATGTCAATTATTTCGATTTGATAATTATACATTGTATACATATACACCCTAGAAATAAAAATATTAAGTATCAATTAAAAAAAGAATACAACTTGGAAAGTAAAAAGAACAAATTATTCTGGTAAGAAAACAAAGAAAATAATCGCTTTCGCAAAGAAAGACAAACAAGATGACTTTGGAAAATTGTACATATTATTTCAATTTCCCTAACTCTGCTATTTATTCTGAGTCTTAGGATATATGTTCCATGGAAGAAAATTGTTGTAGGATATTATTTTAAGATGTGTTACATTTGTTTATGCTGTGGAACATTTGTTTAATAATGCAAAGATGTGTTGCATTCTTTTCTGCTACATTTGTTTAACTCTGTAAAGCTGTGTTATTATGCCTATCTAAAACACCTGATGGTCTAATAAAGAGCTGAACAGCCAATAGCAAGATAGGAGAAAGAATAGGCAGGGCTGGCAGACAGAAAGAATAAACAGGAGAAATCTGGGAGGAAAAAAGAGCAAGAGAACAAGGAGAGGAGGATGTCAGGGGCCAGCCAGCCAGCCAGTCATGGGTTAAGCGTGCAAGTAAGATAACAGAAGCAAGAAAAAGAAAAAGCCCAGAGACAACAGGTAGATGGGATAATTAAGGTTAAGAAAAGCTGGCAAGAAACAAGCCAAGATACGGCCATGCATTTATAATTAAAAATAAGCCTCTATGTGTGGTTTATTTGGGAGATGGGTGGCAGGCTCCCCGAGAGACCAAAAACAACCAACTACAGAAATTAAACTTTTTTACAGCTGAAAAGTAAGTTTTATTAAAATAAAAATGGCAGAGTGGCAGTGGCAATTGGAAACAGACAGGATAGCAACTGTAAGATGCCTCTCACATGCTTCACTGTGCTGTGCAATGTATATTTGACAACTCAAGTTCTTCTCATTCCTGATAATCTAGTCATTTTCCCTCATATGTTTATTTACCCCAGTATAAACAGCAGTGAGTTTCATTACGGCACTGATTTCATTCTTCTTTGATCTCCCTATATATCCCAGCTCGACCTGGAACTTGAGGCAATCTTCTTGCCTCAGTCTCCCAGCGCTGTGTCACCCTCCCCAGCTCATTATGGTATTTTGAAATATACAACACTATACTCTCTTCCTACTTAGCTCGTCCTTCATGTCCCTTTAAAAATCAATAGATTAGCCGGGCAGTGGTGGCGCACGCCTTTAATCCCAGCACTCGGGAGGCAGAGGCAGGTGGATCTCTGTGAGTTCGAGGCCAGCCTGGTCTCCAAAGCGAATTCCAGGAAAGGCGCAAAGCTACACAGAGAAACCCTGTCTCGAAAAAAACAAAAAAAAAAAAAAAAAAAAAAAATCAATAGATTAAATCTTTGAAAGAATACGAATAATAATAACAAAGTAGTCTTGCCCAGTTCTGTTCACATTATTTCTTCACTTGCAACAGTTCTCTGGGTCCACAAAGCCCTATCAAGTGGTCCTTTGCCTGTCTACTCCAGTGCCCTGTCCAAGCCCAGATTCTGAGCTCCATGGGATCAGAGAACTATCCATTTCTACGCACAAATGGTAACACACATTCTGGCAAACAGTGGGGATGCTACTGTAGATGTTTCAGAAATGAGTGACTGCACACCAAGCTGCAGTCTGTCACTGTTATTATCTAGCTGCATACCTTTTGTTCAACTTATACAGCCTCCCATAACCTCACCTGTGGAATGGGTTTTAATTGGCTCATTAAAATCTTCTCTACACACACACACACACACACACACACACACAAAAAAAAAAAAAAAAAAAAAAAAAAAAAAAAAAAAAACCCACAAATCTTAAAAGTTATAGTGCTCAGGTTACTGTTGTTGAGGATTTTTTTTTTTTTTTTTTTTTTTGGCTCTTTTGCCCATTTGGGGGCCTGCCACCAAGCTCCCAGATAAATCACTCTCGGAGGCTTATTCTTACTTATAAATGTCCAGCCTTAGCTTGGCTTATTTCCTGATGACTTTTCTTAATTTTAAGTTATCCCATTCTCTTACTTCTCTAAATCTTACTCTTACTCTGGTGCTGGCTGGCTCCTGGGTCCTCCTCCTTCTCTGGCTCCTTCCTTTCCATCACTCCTCCATCTCTTCTCTTCTTCTCCTCCTCAGATTTCTCCCTCTACTGTTCTCTCTCCTGCCGGCCCCGCCTATCCTTTCTCCTGCCTCGCTATTGTCCATTCAGCTCTTTATTAGACAATCAGGTGTTTTAGACAGGCACAGTCACACAGCTTCACAGAGTTAAACAAATGCAACATAAACAAAAGTAACATACCTTAAAATAATATTGTACAGCAGGTTATAAGCCAGTAACTTAAAGAAAAATAGCCTATGAACCTTAATAATTTAAAAATCAGTATAGATAAACAAATGAAAATGTTAGGTGGAAAGTACACCTTTTTGTGTCATACATATTAAACGAACAGATAAGTATACTGACTGCAAATACACAAACATACACAGGGAACAGAGAAATGTGAAGAGACTAATGCAATCTGGGCTGCCTTTTTTTGTCTACTGTGGGGGAAAAACTGCTACTACAAAAACAATCTCAAATGAATAATTAAATGCTTTAAAAACAGCATATGAGGGAAAGAGCTTTTGAAAGATTGTATTCAAAATGTTCTGGATGTAGGTACCTCCCACACTAGTACTGGCAAGATGGCAGGAACTCGTCACAGTGATGACAACTGTGGGGGCTCTTAAATGTCACTATATCCTTTTTTTTTAGATTCATTTATTTATTATGTATACAGTATTCTGTCTGCATGTATGCCTACAGGCCAGAAGAGGGCACCAGATCTCATTACAGATGGTTGTGAACCACCATGTGGTTGCTAGGAATTGAACTCAGGACCTCTGAAAGAGGAGTCAGTGCTGTTAACCTCTGAGCCACCTCTCCAACCCAACTGTCACCATCTTTAAGAAGCCTTTCCTGTCTAAAGTTCTTAGCCATTTTTTTCTCCTGGATCCACTACCTAGGCCTAATAGTCTCAAGTCACATGTTATCTTCAGTAAATGACTTATTTTTGTTGTTGTTTCTTTCACCAATACAGCAATGTAAGGATCATCTTCTGAACTGTACTCCACAGCACATGGCAGAGCAGATATCCTTATCTGATGAATGAAGAGCTGAATGTATGGGTAGATTTTAGAACCTGGTTCTCAAGATCGAAATTTTCATCTTTTCATACCAGTCACTGGACAGAACTCTACATGGCACAGAGGCGGAGCAGGAGAGAAGGTAGAGTTAGGTTGGTAGCAGAAAACAAAGGAATGAGGGCATGAGAATACCATCTGCCTGCACAATCAGATTCTTCAAATGTACACAAAGCATGCTTTGTGTCCCCTTTTGCTTGTTAGGAAGTATGATACTGGCCCAATGCTTTTCATCATGGGAACAGATAACAAAAGGAAAGCTGTGATGAACTGAGTCAGAGCCAAGGCACGTTTTAAAGCCAAAGGGGTCTCCAAAGCTCTTCAGCCAAATGGGAGGCTTAAAGCTAGTTAGAAAAACTCTCAAAAGTAAAGTAACTACTGAATTTAGATGGATTATTACATTTTCTACTCCCCTTCTGAATGAAATATCTCCAAACTTATTTAGATGGATTTATTAATCAACAACTACTGTCAGAAAGATGACACTGTAAGTAATTTACAACTAGCTGTAAAGAGCAGTGTTGATTTTACATTGTAAATCTGAGGAGAGTCTGGTCAGCCAGCCAACATGGCCTCCATGAGGAAGTGACTTAAAACGCAGATGAGTTAGGAAGGAAAGAAATATTCTCCACTATCAGCCTTGAGAACCCAAGCCCAAGCAATGGCCAGCAAGACAGCTAAGCAAAAGGTGCTTGCTCACATGCCTGTTGACCTGAGTTCAATCCTCAGTTCCCACAAGGTGGCAGGAGAGAACCAGATCTGGAAAGTCATCCACTGATCTCCGCACTATGGCATGAGGTGCCTGTGCGTGCGTGCGTGCATGCATGCATGCGTGTGTGTAGCATATCTGTGGGTACCCATGGAAGTCACACTTCAGGTCCTTTAAAGCTGCTGTTACAAGCACCCAAACTGGGTGCTGGGAATAGAACTCAGGTGTTCAGGAACAGCAGCAAGTTTTCTTAAACAATGACCCAGTTCTCCCGCCCCCAAAGAACGCATTTTGAATACTGCATCTAAATGCAGAGTCTAAGTTGGGCTCAGTTTCTGGGTTCATGTAGGAGTACAATAGTGTTTCCGAAACTCTCTGGGCAAGAAAAATCTTTCCTTTTCTATTATTTATTGAGAAAACCACTCAGAAGGCTTTTCTACATTTTAATTGCCTTGGGTTCTGGTTATCTAGAATAGAAAGTACAAACTGATCTGTAAGAAAAGACAGTAAGAGTGTGGGGGAAAAAAAATCTGTCCAAGTTACATGACCCCATGTTCTCGACAGCAATAAAGATTAACTCAAACAGTTTAAGAATAACAAACAGGAGGTCAACCATTTTTTTTGTTCTTGAACATCCAAACATCATGCTTTTCAAAGTCTATCCCTGGTCCCAATTATAGGAAAACCTTTACCAACAGTCTCCTTGCAACACCTGAAGAGCTGACACACTCACCTGTCACCTTCACAATGACTGTGACAGAGTCAAGCCCAAGTTTTTTGGCTTCTGGAAATGGTGTACGGATTCCATTCTTCCCAGCCTTATCCAACCACTCATATCTTTTATAGCTGAGAGCCTACCTCACTTATGAGAAACATCTATGACTAAATTCTGGAGACTTTAGGTTATGACACTCAGTTTCTTCATCAAGAATATAAAGAAAGCTCATCACAACAATAAAACACAGCAGTATTTTAAAGCCAAGTGCTTACCTTTGAATACTTCTGTAGCTCCTCATCATCTGCAATCTGTGTGTCCAGAGTAGCTACCTACATTTACAAGAAAAACGTTTCCGTATCTATATGAGCATAATTTCATTTCCTCCTATTTTCTGATATATCAGCAAACCCAGCACATTGATAACTCATCTGAAAATATCCAGTATTTTTGAAATCCATAAGTATAGCACATACCAATACATTTGATTTTTTTGTTAGTCTCTCTACACTAATCTTTTCATCATAAATTATGCAGCAGTTGAACTGAAGGTGACATATAATTTGAATTCTTGCCCTCCCTCTGCATGGGCTTCATTTTATTAACAACTTACAGATACAAGTCATTAGTAAAGTACTTTTCCTTGCAAGAAATTCATTTCTAAACATGTCTACCAATAAAACTCAGACTAATATCTGAACAACACATAAACATCCATCTTTTGGTATTGTGAGGTTGCTCAAGTTTTCATGAAGGTGTACTATGTGCATACACTGACATCAGCTCTAAACTACTTATGATACTTAATACAAGGAAAATGCTACATACATATGCCATACATATTGTTTAGGAATGATGATATGAAAACAAAAGTTTATACCTGTTCAGTTCTGATGAAAATTTCCCCCAAATGTGTTTAAACTATAGTGACAATGTGGAATCTATAAACATGGAGCCAAATATGAAGGTCTAACTATACCAACTTTAAATTCTATGATCCTCCAAATTTTCATAAAATCTTCATTATATTAGATCTGTAAAAATTTTACTCTTGTACCATCAAGTTGGCTCACCAGGGGGCTGGAGAGATAATTCAGCATTTAAGAACACTGGCTGCATTTCCAGAAGACCTGGGTTTGATTCCTGGACCCCCACAGTGGCTCACAACCCTTCATAACTCCAGTTCTAAGGAATCTGACACCATCCTCTGGCCTCTGTAGCACCAAGCATATAGGTGGTGCACATACATAGGCACTTACACAGAAAATAAAATAAATATTTTTTAAATGACTCAGCAGGTAAAAGCTTTTGCTGTACAGGCCTAACGACCCTTCAAACAAACACAAAAGTGGAAGAAAACTGACTCCTCAAAGTTGTCCTCTGATCTCCACATACACACCAGGCCACATTCACACCCATATCCATATGCAAAATCACAGTATATATTTTTTTAAAAAAATTGTAGCCTAGCACTTGGGAGGCAGAGGCAGGTAGATCTCGGAATTCGAGGCCAGCCTGGTCTAGAGTGAGTTCCAGGACAGCCAGGGCTACACAGAGAAACCCTGTTTCAAAAAAACAAAAACAAAAACAATTTTACTCTTAGCCGGGCATAATGGCACACACCTTTAATCCCAACATTCAAGAGGCTGAGGCAGGTAGATCTCTGTGGGTTTGAGGCCAGCCTGGTCTACAAAGAGACTTCTAGGACAGTCAGAGCTACACAGTGAGACCCTGTATTGGGGGGGGGGGGGGGGGAGCTTTTTTTTTTTCTTTGTTTTTTTGTTTTAACTCTTGACAAAACTGAGAACATTGCCATTTTAAAACTTCAAACTCAGGTCTTAAATTCTGTAGGTTAGTCACATGGACATGCATCAGGAGATGGTGTGGCAAGAAGATCAGGAGTTCAAGTTTAGCCTCAACTACAGTTTTAGGCTAACCAGAGCTACATAAGACCTGGTCTCAAATCAGTAGACCCCCCCTCCACAGAAAACAAGCAAACAAAAAATATCAGATTAGTAGGACTCTGGAAGAAAGTGCAATAAGGAACAGTGGAATGTATGCATCCATTTACTCATCTGCCTTAGCAGGCTTCCACCTTGTATCCCTATAACTTTAGAGGAATCACTGTAAAGATCCAACTTAAAATCTCTCTCCTGGCTGGGTGGAGATGGAGCACGCCTTTAATCCCAGCACTCAGGAGGCAGAGCCAGGCAGATCTCTGTGAGTTTGAGGCCAGCCTAGTCTACAGAGCGAGATCCAGGACAGGCACCAAAGCTACACAGAGAAACCCTGTCTCAAAAAAAAAAAAAAAAAGAAAAAAGAAAAAAAAAAATCTCTCTCCCGTTTCCAGCCTCGACTTTAACATGTGATGTACAAAAATCTGATATGTAGAGAATAAAACTTGAACACACACCACACACACACACCCCTATCACAGAGCTTTATTCCCCAGTATGGCTGTTAGTGGAAAGCTTGCCTAACATGCAGGGAAGCCCTGAGTTTGAGCTGTCATAAATCAGGCAGGATAGTTCATGTCTGTAATCCCACAACTGAGGAGGTGGAAGCAGGAAGAACATAAGTTCCAGGTCATCCTTAGCCACACAGCAAGCTCGAGGGCAGCTTGGGCGACATGAGACCCTGCTTCAAAAAAGTGAAAATAAAAATCCTGTCATATAACTGGTGAGCCACATGTTCTTTGAACACACACAAGAATGTGTGACTTTCTAGGCAGCAGCCTAGTGACAGGACTCTATGAACCGGAGACCCCACAGTCACAAGAACTAGTGTGCAGGCCCAGAATGAACACCAAAGTGACCACATGATTCATCTTAAGGACACTAAAGCTGCTCTGGTGACAGTGGCCAGACATTCAAACACAAAATATACTGTCAGGTATTAATGACAACCCAGTATTAATGACCATATACATAAGAATGTGTCAGGGCTACATAACAAGACCTTGTTTCAAAAAAGAAAATTTGAAAGACAACAGATATCTACTGCCATGTTTGATGAACACCAACGAGATTGTTCTAACACAGCTTTCTGCTTTCATGTGGATTCGCTGGGGAAATGTAACCAATCCTTTACTGGCCAAATCTAATAACAGGTGAAAGGAGGTCTAATGGCCTGCTGGCACCATAAACTCATACCTCACCTAAATTACTTCCTGTTCTTCTAAATACATTTCATAATCATTCTTTCATTTTTCTCATAAAACTGTAAGATTCTTTGTGAAACATAGGACTAATATCCACAGCCCTTTCAGTGTACAATAAAACAAACAGATCATAAAAGCAATCATAAAGATGCCAGCCATTTTAAGCAGCTGATTCAAGTTATAAATTCAAAGGCCGGCTTTCACCCTCCTAATGTTCTTCTGCCTATTGTTGACCTAAATGGCTTCACCATGAACTGAGTGTCTGTTAATTGTAACTGAAGTTTGTGCACAGTCCTTAATTGTTCTTATAGCTTAAAACGCTTTAAAAATTGATTGATTGCTCTAATAGGAAAGAAAGACAGGAAGAAAACAATGGAAGCAGCCTGTATCTTCTTTGACTCTCCCATGTCATTTTAAATTATAGTGTTAGGAGTGTAACATGAAATGAAACTTTCTATTAAAATATTTTTTTAACATACCATTACTTCATAATCTGGGCCCAGTAGGTTTTCCCATCTGGATTTCAGCTCATTTTCTGTGGGGCCTGGGACTTCCTCTGGATATATATCTATAAGAAAAAGAACATTGAAGCTGCTATGAGCCAAACATACTTAACTAACAAATTCTTTAATAAGAGCTCAGCTTCAGCAGGAAAGGGAGAAACGAGTAAAAAGGAAAATGTATTCATTTAAATCTACCTGGTAATGTAAACCAAAGTGACTTAGGAGAATAATACAAAATGTAAAGCCACCCGGGACAAACTTGTTCAGGAATATTTTAAAGGGAAGAGGAAGTGATTAATTACAAATGAAACTTGAATATATAGTTTCTATGGAGATATCCCACTTATTTGGCTCAGTTTTATTTGTAGGTAGTTTACAATTTGATTTAAATGTAAATCTTTTCAAAGTAGCACCATTCCACCTCTTCACTGGAATGTAAGTGTGTATGGAGCTCGCACTGTAGTCAACAAGCCAGTGACACAACACAGCCAGGCTTCCACACGCCAGGACGGACAGAGAGGCTGTCTGTCCGGCTGCTTCCACACGCCAGGACGGACAGAGAGGCTGTCTGTCCGGCTGCTTCCACACGCCAGGACGGACAGAGAGGCGGTCCGGCTGTAAGCTGAATTTCTTCGGGTAGAAACTTTAATTTTACACCAGTCTTTTGCTTCTGCTTAATTATTAGGATATTTGTACCTTTTCAATGCTCTTGATTTAATGGTGTCATTATCGCACAGGTGAGATCATTTTAAAAGCAGACATATTTAAAGTGCCAGGCCTACCCTCCGTATAATCTTCCCCAGACTCTCAGAGTCTGAAGAATGCCTGACAGATAAAAGTCAAAGTACTAAAACTATCATTTGCACTTACATCCATACTAATACAGAGGATAAAAAGGTTCCACGTTTTTTAAGTTAAGTTCCTCATTTCTGCTGTAAGATCGGACATGTCACAGAACACTTATCACAAGTGACATAACCATCTGCCTACCATCAAATGTAACATGCAGCATCAGCTCTTTTCATCTCCAGAGCAGCTCACTTTGGCTGCAAAGAACGTTTAATTACATACTACAAATCATTAAGTTAAATAGGCTAACTTCAGAATCAGAGACTAAGACTAATGAACACTAAAGAACTTAAATTACTCCATTTACAAAAGAACATCCAGGAAATAACTATATTCATTGATACGCTAGATTACATTTAGGGGCAGCTAATCAAAGTTACTATTAAAATAAGTATCAAAATCATTTGGGTGGCATGTATTCCTGTGAATATTTCCTTAAGAAATTCTGAGTTCTTACAATCTCTTTTCTTTCTTTCTTCCTTTTTTTAAATTTATTAGTGTGGGGTAGAGGGCAGGAGGGAGAGTCTACAAGCTGCAGCACATATGTGGACATCAGAGAACAGCTTGTGTGGAACTGGCTTTCTCCTTCTGCCTTACATGGGTTCTGGGAATCAGCACTGGGTTTTCAGGCTTACTGCTAGTGCCTGTACCCACTAAACCATCTTTCCAGCCCCTTTACCAAATTCTTTAAGAGTGTCAACAATTTGCCTGTTCAGTGTCTTCCAGGTGCAGTTTCAGGTCTGCTAAAGGGTCTGAACAAAATCTACAACGTATTGAGAGAATTCTAAGTTTACAAGCATGGCTATCAGATGGCAGGAAGTTCATCCAAGTAAAAGACGACGCCGGTGATTCAATCCCCTTGGGACTGTCTTTACCTTCCAGGTACCCAATGAAAGCACAGACAGCTATGTATTTTAAAGCACAGCTCAAAGGACTAAGGGCCAGAGAAAGGCAGTTAATCTACTTGCAGCAGCAACAACAGCAGCAAAAAAAAAAAAAAAGCTGCACAAGGGGATGAAACAAGAGATAACAAGATTATCTTAAGCAACCATCATGCAGGTGAGACAGACTAACCCGTCACAGCAGCCAGAAGAGGCAGGCAAACTTGCAAACTGAAATTATACTCATGCATGAAGGAAAAAAATACAGTGAAACTTATTTTTAAAACATGAGCACATTAGCCGGGCGGTGGTGGCGCACGCCTTTAATCCCAGCACTTGGGAGGCAGAGCCAGGCGGATCTCTGTGAGTTCGAGGCCAGCCTGGACTACCAAGTGAGTTCCAGGAAAGGCGTAAAGCTACACAAGCTACACAGAGAAACCCTGTCTCGAAAAACCAAAAAAAAAAAAAAAAAAACATGAGCACATGCTAGGTGTGGTGGTGTACACCTTTAACCCCAACACTCTGAAGGCAGGAACAGGGAGAGCTCTGTGAGGTTGAAGCCAGCCTGTGGTTTGCATAGCAAATTCCAGGCTGCCAGGGCTACACAGTAAGACCCCCATCTCAAAACAAAAAAATAAAAATAAAAAAAATTTTAAAAAATTAACAACAACCAAAAAAAGGCATGGGTACAGTATAGGGAAGTAGAAACAGGAGCACTGTGAGTTCTAGGCTAGCCTGAGCTATATAGTAATACATTTTCTCAAAAACAAACAAAATAATGACAATAGCAATGAGATACCATATTTCTAAAACTATTTCTAATTTCAAATTTGATTTTCTCCTAGTTCTTTGATATCCACCTGAGATCAACTAAATTAAAATAGTAACAATGAACTGCACTCTAGTTGGATCCAAAAGGGAATGGGGGTGGCTCTTAACCTTGATCTTGAGTGAGACATTATTAATACCTTCCTTTGAGCTACCTTTGATAACATACAAAGAGCCCAAGGCCAGCTTCTCTGGACCATGGATGGTGTTCAATCTTTTCAGCAGTTTCCCTTAGCTGGCAAAGCCTTCCCGAGTAACTCTGTAAAAGGAATGAGCTATAACTCAGCATGCCTGCAAACACGAGTCCTGCTAACAGCTGGAGTGACAAAGTACAATGTAAAAGGTCAAAGTTGGAAACAATTCGAAATTTTTAATATAAATATATAGCAGCCTGCCATTTGATACAACATATAGAAAATTCATGTTAACTTTTATGAAGAGGAAACACTTCTATATATAAACAGACAGCTATAATATTAGATATAAATACAACTACAGCACACAAGTAAGAATATATAGTAATTAAAATGCTACGTAGTTAGTACATACTAATAAATATGCATTTGAAACACAATTAAACAAAGACTAAACAAAAATACACTTGGTGCTCTACTGCCAAATGTGTTGATTATATTAAGATTATAGTCAAAACACCCCATTTTATTAAAATTTAGGGGAGGGTGAGGCTGGTGGCAGCACTAGGGACTCAACCTAGGGCCTCATACATGCTAGGCTATCACTCTACCATGGTGGTACATCCCTAGCAAAATATGCCACCTTAAATCTCTAAGACGCCTCTACAGCATGAGCTTCCATCAGATAGAGACTGCTTTTACACAGGTCTCTAGTTGCTCCCTGGTTATTCGGATACTTGTAGCTTTACAAAGTTCTTGGTGTAATACTACTGTCTTTATAGCATAGGTCTGAGTCTGATTCCGCAGATACCAAACCATATTAACTATAGAGGAGGAAGGATTAATAAACAAAAAGGTTGAAGTACTCCAAAGAAAAGGCTACCTGGTTTTTCTAAGGCTTGTACGTTGTTCTTTTTTAGATTATCCGGGTTTTCTCCAATTTCCTCTGCTTCCGTACCCAAATTAGTTTCTGTTTCCACGGATCCAGTTAGGGCTGGTACTTTAGGTAGTTCTGCAACAGTTCCTAAAACAAGAATTGCTGGCTTGAATCACTGGTCCTATGGGGGAAGGGGCAGGGGGTAGCACATTCATATAAGCTTATTTCACTCCCATTCACAACTTTGCAGGACCTCACTGAAGCTGATTCCTTAAGTACTAAAGTTTTCAGTAAAGTAACTAATTAATACTAAAAAAATAGTTTGACAGTATTCAAAGAATGAGGAAATACAGAAAATGAAGGTGAGAAGCAAGGTTAAGTCCATGACAAAACAGGAATAGATTTCTTACAATATAGCTTTAGAAAAAAAAGAAAAAGAAACCAACAACCAGAAGGCTGTATGCTCTTGCTGCTGTGGATAGCAAGCATTCTTACCCTTTTACCCACAGAGCAATACACCTGACACCACCAACTGAGAAATCATATATGTACAAAGTATTTGATATTAGATAATAATACTACTTCTCTTTGCTGTGATAACAGTATGATTGTTTAAGAAAATATCCGTATTTCCATGATGCCCACACCACTCACTCTAAAATGGTTCAGAAGAAATATGGGGAGATGGCGACTATCAGATCTAAGTGGAAGGTAACTGGATTTTCATTCTGTTCTGTTCATTTTTCTATATGCTTGAACTGTTTTAACAACAAAGAGCTTAAACATACAATTAAACTCCTATGACTGTAACATGAGACTTTAAAACCACTCAAATAGTATTTTTTAGATCATTAATCAACTAATGTCATAAATGAATGCATATACATAATACTAGGATAAGAAATGCCAATCATTAATTGAAGCATTATTTATTTATAATAACCAAGACAGGGAAACAGCTTCAGTGAACACTTAGCATAAATACATAAATAAAATGTGTATATACAAAAATAATAAATATTATTGATTCTTTAAAAAGGAAATGGAATCAATTGTTAGAGCCTGGATGAGCCTGGAGGACACTATGTGAAATAAAATTAGCTCACTAGAGAAGGTGAGCTAACTACATGGCTCAACCCATTTGAGTTTTCTGCATAGTCAAACTCAAAGAAACAGTAAAAAGGCAGCTGCCAAGGAGGGAAGACTGACTTTAATGACATGAAGTTTTAATCACAGAGGATGGGGAAGTTCTATGGATAGGCTAGTCAACAAAGGGCACAAAGTTAACAACAGAGAATCTTTTTTTATTATTGATAGGGTCTCACTATGTAGCCCTTGCTGGTCTAGAATTTGGTATGTAGACCAGGCTAGCCTTGAAGTCATAGTCATCCATCTGCCTTTCTGAGTGCTGAAATAGAAGGCATGGCCACCACACCCAGTGTGAAGGTGAATCTAGAGTGTCAAGTTGATGTGATGGGCTTTTGTGGTTGATATATTGTGATATTTTATTTGTGCTGAAATGTGGTGATTGCTGTGGATATCGTTCTGTATAAATAAAACACTGATTGGCCAGTGGCCAGGCAGGAAGTATAGGCGGGACAAGGAGAGAGGAGAATTCTGGGAAGTGGAAGGCTGAGTGGGAGAGACACTGCCAGCCGCGCCATGACAAGCAGCATGTGAAGATGCCGGTAAGCCACGAGCCACGTGGCAAGGTATAGATTTATAGAAATGGATTAATTTGGGATATAAGAACAGTTAGCAAGAAGCCTGCCATGGCCATACAGTTTGTAAGCAATATAAGTCTCTGTGTTTACTTGGTTGGGTCTGAGCGGCTGTGGGACTGGCGGATGACAGAGATTTGTCCTGACTGTGGGCCAGGCAGGAAAACTCTAGCTACAGGTGATATTTAATTTGTATGTTAGTAAATAAAGTTTGCCTGGAGATCAGAGGAAATAAACTAACCCTTCCTTCCCTTCTTAAATTGTTTCTTGATTAAGTATTTGGTCATGGCAACGAGAAAAGCAACTAATATAATAATAACTTTTTCATTTTAGATTTATTTTATTTTACGTATATGAGTATTTTGACCATGTGGATGCCTCACGCCTAGAGAGATCAAAAAAGAAGATTTTGATCCTTGGAAGTTAAGTTTATTTGCTTTTTTTGTTGTTGTTGTTGCTGTTTGTTTGTTTGTTTGTTTAAGACAAGGCCCCACTATTTAACCATTAGTGGTCTGGAACTTACTAAGTAGATCAGGGTGGACTTGAACTCACAGATATTTGCCTGTCTCTGTCTCTATAGTATTAGGATAAAAGACATGCATCCCATGCCTGGTGAAACTGGAGTTAATAATAGTTTCTTTGTTAATGCGAATCAGAAGAGCTGGAAAGATGCTCAGTAGTTTAGAGCACTGATTGCTCTTCCAGAAGACTTGGGTTCCATTCCAAGCACCCACATGGCAGTTCACAACTGTCCGTAACTCCACTTCCAAGGGATCCAATGCCCTCTTCTGGCCTCCACAGGCACCAGGTACATGTGTGGTGTACAGACATGCATGCAAACAAAAACACTCATACAAACAAAGTAATAGAATAATTTTTTAAATTATAAAATGCCAACCAGAGCTCCTGAGGAAGCACAGAAATACAGTCAAATACAATGAGACCTTTAATAACACAGCACAGTGTGACTGTATGCCACAAAGACCCAAATACTGTCCAGGAAGATGCTTCAGCCAGTAAAGGGATTTGCTGCCAAGACAGATGACCTTAGTTCAATCTCCAGAACTCATATGGTAGAGCGAGAAAACTGTCTCCCCAAAGAAGCCCTCTGATATCCAAAAAAAAATGTATATTTTTCCACAATGAAGACTGCTATTTTATAATATTATTGACAAAAATATTACTTTTAATAAAAATATTCTTGATAAAAATTTGTTTTTATTTTTTCACCATACTTCAACAGACAAATCAAGAGATAACTAAAGTAAAACACATCATAAAAGCAATCTAGGATCTGAAGCTTGAGAAAAGTCAAGGTATAAGTAAATGAAGGGTCCTGGATCAAAAGTGATTGCCATCTCCATTTCGAGGCACTCTGGGCTTGCTCAACCAGTGCTTGCCTCCTGTCATCTGGGCTGGTGCACCGCAGCAGGCCAGGGAAATGACTCTGCGAAGGAGACAGACTGGCCCATCTCTCCACCACTGCAGTACACAAGATAAGGGACATTTCCTACTCAACCTCCCAGACCATACCTTTGCCGTCCTTCCGAACTCAGCTCCATGGAGAAGAGAGGGGTGGGAGCATTCATTACCTCTGTCTGAAGGCTGTTCAAGTGGAGGATCAGATGAAGATGTTCTCCTGCGCACTAGAGTTAGCTGCACCACCTGCCCTGCATTTCGCAATACTTCAACAACATCCTGGTTGGCAAAACCCTGAATATTCACACCGTCCACCTATGACATCAGGAGACAGAACAGGGTTTTAAGTAAACTATCACCCTTTTTGTCTTGTTCTTTGAAAGAAGGTCTTATTATGTAGCGCAGAGAAACCAACTCAGTACATAGCTCAAGTTGGCCTCAGATTCACAATGTTTTTCTTGCCTCAGCCTCCTGAATGCTGGAACTAGAGACATGTGAGTCATCGTGCCTATCAACTACTTCCATTTTTGATTTTGGCAGTGCTGAATAAAATGGGGTAACTAATTTTACTCCCCAAATACTGCATATTAGATTGGAAAGTATTTTTGAATAAAAATTAAAAACTAGTTTTGCTGAGAAATTTACATGCAAATAAGAAAATAAAGTCAAACTTATATTCTTAAGTCACACATTTTAAATATCAGTCTGACAGAGGCAAAAGGCTTTACTGTCTAATGATAATGAAAATTTTTAAAAATTAAAAAGCTATAAAACCTGGTTAATTGTTACAGTTTTCAAATGTACCTATAAAATTCATTACCAACACTGAAGAGCTACTCCTGTGTAGCATCACTACATAATATTTTCCAAAGAAACACACTGATTTCACACCATTGAGTCTTCTAGTGTTCTGAGAAATGTACGTGTGAAAGCCTGGCAGGCCAGCCCACTGCTTTAGATTTCCTCCTAACTTCTCAAAGCATGCAATGCTCTGCTGGCCTCCAGACCCTACACACCGTCAAAAGCATCTGATAATCTTTAAGGTAAAAGCCAGTATTCACGAAAGGTGCTTCCTTAGATGAACTCTAATCACATCACCCATCATCTGATACTATGTAACTCAGTGTTATACGTGCAATGTGAACAGAAAGCAAAGCGTGTAGACATAATTTACTTCTACTAAAAGGGGAGACTAGCCAGGCAGTGGTGACGCACATCTTTAATCCAGCACTCAGGAGATAGAAGCAGATGGATCCTGACTTAGAGGTCAGCCTTGTCTACAGAGCAAGTTCCAGGACAGCCAGGGCTATATAGAGAAATCCTGTCTCAAAAAACCAAAAATGAGAAAAAAGGGGAGGGGGGAAATACACCTAATTTTACTAGCAAAAAGTTATATTCTCAAATATATAAAGTATTTCCATTTTTGATGTACTCAAAATTATTTAGAAAAAGCAGCAAGAAGAACTGGTAAATGGATTATTCACTATATCAAATAGATGAATGTATAGAGACATTTGGGGAGGGGGTTGGTTTTTCAAGACAGGGTTTTTCTGTGTAGCCCTGGCTGTCCTGGAACTTGCCCTGTAGACCAGGCTGGCCTTGAACTCACAGAGATCCGTGCTGAGATTAAAGGCATGTGCAACCACTCTGTGGCACATACAGATTCTTAAAAAATATTTCCTAGAAGATATAAAAATATCTTTCAGATACATTTCAATGCATACATTTATTTAAGTAAATGTATAATTTTTCCTACCAATATGTTTAGTGGAATATTTCCTCTTTGACTGGAATAAATCATATTTAGAGCCTAAAATCATAAGAGCCTGAATCAATGAGATTTCACTGCACTAGTAAAGCTAATTTTTTAAAATCTTATGAGCTGGGCATGGTGGAACATGTCTTTAATCCCAGCACTTGAGAGGCAGAGGCAGGTAAATCTCTAAATTCAAGGACAGCCAGGTCTACAAACTCAGGTCTAGGCCAGCCAATGCTATATAGTGAGACTGTGTCTCAAAAACAAAATAAAACAGAGCAAAAACAAGAACAACAACAAAACACTAAAAATAATAAAACTAAAATTACAAAATGAAACTAAGCCATCTTCTCCTGCATATGATAGAAAAACTAACCTTTCTCCAACTTGATTCAAATGTACAAAAGACAGCCGTTACTTACAGCCACTATTTTGTCATTCACTTGAATTTGGCCATTGTGATATGCAGCACTGCCTGGTATTATACTTTTCACATAAATCCCTGAAGCTTCCCCTGAAAGTGCATAGACATACAGAAAAAAGGAAGAAAGCTAAAATTAGGACCCGATTGCAAAATTCTTATCAAGAGGTTAATTAGCTAAAGAGGCTGACTAGAGACTTCATAAATACTATTTTGAACACATGCAGGGAAATTGATGGATTATTTCAAACTGTCACCATCACAAGTGACCTGAATTCAAAATGATTTGACTGATGAATACCCTTCTGGAAAAATAATCAGTAATGGAACCTTGATGAATGCATTTCTCTCTAAGCTGGGATTCTAGAGGGCCAGGATGAACCCTGGTCTATCGTTACTTGAACTGCTGACTCAGCGCAAGCACTCATCATTTTTCACTAGCACTAAGGCGAGTCACACATATTCCTGCCTATATTTAGTTGAGTGCTCATGTGTGTCATCTAGATACAGAGAAAAGCACATGTGTTCTTTTTAAAAAGCTAGTATAGGGGCCAGTAAGATGGCCTGGCAATCTGAGCTCAATCCCAGGAATACACATAAAGGTGGAAATACTCCACAAAGTGGTCCTCTGACCTCTACATGGACCCCATGACAGGCACACACATCCCTGTACACATACAATAATAATTTTAAAAAATAGAATGACCTCAGCAGCATGAAATAATCCTTATATTATAAAATTAAATATTTAACCACAAATAGTTATTAAAAAATTATAACCATATAAAAAGTACATTCCCAAGAGAAAGAAGTACAAAGGAAACTGAAAATTTAAAAAACTACCTGTTAATGATTTTACTAAGTTCCTTCTGCCAGCATAATTATACATAAACTTCACTGAGTCATATCCCAGGTCTTTCATATCAGGAAAAATCATTTATTTTTTAGTATCATCTTCCACATTATTCCTTCCACAAAGTCTGACACCCAGACTGACACTGCACCAATGCCAAGGGCTTCCCTAACTCTACAAGTCTGCTTCTTCCCCATCTAATCTGCCTTCCTCACTACCACAAATGCTTCAAGTCTCTCTCAACTTCAATCTTTCATCTGCCATGCTAGAACAGTTGCGTGTCTTTACTAAAACATGCATTTCCAGTTATCTTCAAACACTGAAAGAGTTTTAAACTTTAATTATACTCCCTCAATAGACTTTTTGTTTGTTTGGGTTTCTAAGATGAAGTTTCTCTGTGTTGCCCAGACTGGCCTCAAATTGTGACCCTTCCAACTCAGCTGCTAAAGTGACTGAGGTCACAGAAGCATGCCACCATGCCTGTTCAAATCCCAGCACCAAAATCAATAAGCCAAAAATAAGTGGAATAAAGTGCAAGTTATTTCTATACATGTTTCTGAAAGCTGTTGCTGTTTCAAGTGTCTCATTTTTTTTTTTTGCACATTTGCTCATCCTCTCAAAACCACCCAAGCCCACACATGTTTTGAAAGTAGAGAAGTAAAAAGATTCTTTCCTGTACTCAGTAAGACAAAGATCAAATTTTCTCTCATTCATTAATTTCGGCTTAGGCATTGAGGCATAAGTTTAGGAACTCAGCCACAACTCAACTTTAACAAGATATAAGATAGTGATAACAACTCAATATGTTTTCTGCAACATTACTTTTTAAATCCATACTTAGCTTTTAAGAGACTTATTTAAATTCTGAACCTAAAAAGGGTGGCACATAGAAGAATCAGAAGTTTTGAAATTAGATATTTCATTAGGCTGAAATAGCACAAAGTGGCCTGACAGGAATTTCATTCAGGCCTATGAATACATTAGCACTCTTAATCTCCCCACCTGCTCCAATGCATGATGACAACTTTTTTAAGGAATTAACTTTCTATACTTGCTATTTGTCAGAAAAACTAAAATATTTCATAACTAAACTTTCATGTAACTATCAAATATATTTTAAAGGTTTATTTTTACTTAACCTAGTAATTCTTCAATAACCAAGGGAAAACTAACAGTGAAAGAAAACAATTTTATTAGAATCATGTATTCTCACAATGCACTTCCCTTATATGAAAAAAAATAGTTCTAATGAAATACTTTTCTCTTTTTTTTCATGATTAAACACAAATATATTTTGGGCAGTCACAATATACAACATATGCAGTGATCAATTTACTTTATCCCAGACATAATACTGTATAAAATGTTAACAGTCACACAATATTCAAAACAGAATTACTCTAGAAGCATAGGAAAGTGAAGTCCCAATGGTACAAAACGATCTGTACATTAAATTCCTTTGTTACTAACTATAAAGCTAGCTGTTAAACTACTGAGGCAAAATCTGACTCTAATCACTGAAAAGTAACTGCTTGCTATTATAGATTCACAGTTTTATTGTTTGAGTTTTAAATTAAAGTCTGTAGGTACTTAATTTTATTATCTAGAAACCTTAACATCCTTTATAATTATCCAAAATATGAGGTAGAAATGATTCATTTACCTGAATGAGCTGTTCCAACATAGCCAACAATTCTAATCCCAAGACTCTGTCCATCTTTTTTAACAAGTTCAACATTGTAAGTTTCAAAAAGAGAACAGTCCTACAGGGAAATAATACACCCATTGTTACATTTTTAGTTGCATAACTATATACACAGTCAATCTGTGCACCCAGTTTGCCAAGTTTTTTTCTGTGACAAACTGAATTTTAAGATGATCCCCATGATTTCCCATCCCTGGACCTGCCCCTGTGCTTGTAAAATCACATGGCAAAGGGGAGATTATTCAAGTGGGCCTAATCTAATCAAAGAAGCCCATTATAAGTAATTTTCCCCTGCTGGTAATAGGAAGGGCAAAGAAAAAGATTTTAAACATGAGATTTTAAAGATGAGCTTGTGGTTCGAAGGTGGAGGGGTCATACAAGAAAGATGGGACCAAGGGGACCCTAAGGGCTTGAAAGATGGAGGCCAACAAAGAAAAGGTCCTCCACCCTACAGCAAAGAACTGTATTCTTCCCCCAACCTGAAACAAGCTCATGAGCCCGGATGTCACGAACAGAGCCCAGATGAACCAAGACCTTTCATTTACCCTTATAAGAATCTAGGCAGAAAACCCCGCCAAGCCCACTCTGAATTCTGAACTACAGAAATGCAAACTGACCAAAGGTATTATCTACAGCTGCTAAATAACTAACAACTTATAACATAACAAGAAAAAATTAATACAGCCACTTAGAAAAACCTCAGGCTCTATTTTCTGAAAGAATCACAAGCCTAACAATTTAGAACCCAAGGGGAAACTAGTTATAATATATAGTATTTTTAAAACTGGCTCTAAAACTTTAATACCATCTTTAAATATTTCTGCAAAGGGATAAGATATCTAAACACTAACACTGCTTTCAACTCCAAACATCAGCATCAGAAACTAAGCCACACATCACAGAGCCTTGTGGACTAGGTGAGAAGACTTCAGTGAGTTTGAGTAATGAAGGAAACTGGTATCAATTAGCATACAACTTGAAGAAACTAAAAGTTAACTGCTAATATCAAGGAGAGAAAACTCCTGTTCATATGGTACCCAGTGAGTGATGTCTCTGAAGGTAAGTGCTAGCTTTCCCTGTGTTCTAACAGAGTCTCCTTCTCTTCCTGCCTCTTCATACTTTTATTCATGGGGAGGAGGAATGGGGAGACAGTTCAGTCAGCAAAGCACTTGCTGCGCAAGTGTGAGGAACAAAGTTCAAAACCCTAGGGCCAGATGTTAAAAGCCAGACATGGTAGCACATACCAGTACTCTCAATACTGGGGAGACAGACGCAGGATCCTGGGGCTTGTTGCCCATCCAGTCTGATTGAAATGGCAAGTTCAACTTTGTGAGAGACTCTATCTCGAAAATAAGGCACAGAGCAATAGTGGAAAACAATGATTTCTGGCTTCAAGGCATATGTGTGTGCATGTACTTGCACACATGCCCCTGTGTATGCACACACACCACACCAAAAAAAGGGAAGAGAGAAACACACATGTCTAACACGAGTTCTCCTCTGCTTCGAATGTGAGCACGGAAGTGACTTATACTAGGGAATTGCATATCTTGCATTGTATCACAGGCAGCATCTGATGTAAAAAGAATGGTTTTATACTCACAGAACCAAGGGTCCTGTTGGCTAGAGCAGGCTGGGCAACAGGTAAGGATACAGGGGTAGGAGGTGTTACTGCAATTTCACCAACAGGGTCTCTGGCCACCAGCATCCTTACTGAATTCCCACAGTTCCTTAGCACCTGAGCAACTTGTTCACTGGTCATCCCTTGCACATTTGTACCACCAATCTTCAAAATGTGGTCCCCTGTCTGTAGTCTCCCATCCTTTGATCCAAGAAGGAAAAACAAAATTATTCAGAGAAATCAATTAACAGCTTAGTAAAAATACACCAAACTTTCAATTCTGGCAAAATGACTGACAAAGCCAGTTCAAATGCTGGACAAACGTAACACTTCTAATGATCTACTCAGCTGACAAAAGATAAAGCAATTCCTTGTAGAACAACACCAAACCGGAAGGGTCCAAAATGAAATAAGTAATCAGAACTCTAAAAATGGGTCTCTGCTCAAGGGTTTTAATTTATGTCTGACAGTGTAGAGCTAGAGTATAATGACCATGTAGGTAAAGAAAAGATCAAAAGCTGAGGACTTCCAGAAGGATGGTCAGAATGAAAGGTTCCAGCATAAAGTTAAGGACCTCCTAAGGCCAAAATGCTAAGTAGCATGACCGGTAACAGAAAGTTGCCAGCATGGCCAAAAGAGGCAGAGAAAAGAGGATAGTAATGAGCAGCTAGAACAGACAGATAGATGGAGAGTCATTTTCTATGACTGGGAAGCAAAGTCAGCAAAGGAGTGACATCATGACTAGTTAAATTTTCTAAGATCTTGCCAACTTCTGTGCTTAAAATAGACTTAGGAGGAAACAATTCAAGCAGAGACAGCAGCAGGGAGGCTCTAACAATGACCTCAAGATTACATGGCGTGGACAAGTTAGTTTCAAATTGAGAAGGAAGAGCTACATGTATTTTCTAAGAACCACCAACAGGATGTGTTGTGTGGTATTTGTTTTGTTTTTCTGACAAATAAAACTTGCCTGGAGATCACAGGGTAGAGTTAGCCACTAGTTAACCACAGAGGCTAGGCAGTGGTGGCACACACTTTTAATCCCAGCACTTAGGAGGCTTACTCCTTTAATCCCAGCATTCAGGAAGTGGAGACAGGAATATAAGTCGGGTGGAAACAGGCTCTTGGCCCCCCTTTTGGTCTGAGGATCCAGAGGGTAAGAAGTCACTAGTGACTGCTCTTTTGCTTCTCTGATCTTTCAGCTTTACCTTAATATCTGACTCCTACTTTTCATTGATTAGACTAATTAAGATCACACTTCAAGGATGACTGATAACTTCTACACGTGATGTCAAGGAAAGGGAGAAGGAACTAGAACCCCAACATTTTAGCCTATACAACTAGAAAAGATAGACTTATCATGAACTGTGCTAAAGAAGACTAAAGACTAAAGAGTAACAGATGAGTGGGAATAGAAATGTGTACATCCATGTGTGTATTGCATATATACTGCATCACAGAAAAGTTTAAGATATAATTCATGAAGATATACACCAGTTAAAATTATTTATAGATATTTATATATGCCCTCTTTGTGAAAATTCTGATCCATCTGCATTTTGCCTAAATTTATTTCATCTGAAAACTTGAATCCTATTAAAATTACCTTCAGTAGTGTATATTAAAGATATCAAAATATCAACAATGATGGTCTAGAAGTATACAGGCCTGCAAAGTACCTTACAGGTTACAATAACTCCTATGGCCAGCTATGGCAGCACATGCCTATGATCTCAGCATATGGAGGCAGGAAAACTGAGGCCACCCTGAACCATATAAAGAATTTGAATACAGCCTAGACTATATAGTGAGATAATTTCTCAGAAAACCAAAAAGAAAGCCAGCCAGCCGTGGAGCGGGGTGAGGGGTGTTTGCCTTTTAATCGAAGCACATGGATCTCTGTGAATTCAAGACTAGCCTGATTTACAAAGTAAGTGGCAGGATAGCCAGAGCTATATAGTGAGACCCTATTGCAAAAGAAAGAAAACCAAAAATAAAGGAGAAAAAAAAGAGAGGGAGAGAATTAATTAATTCAATCTTGTTCAAAGGGGAATTTAAATTTAAAATGAGAAAATTTAGTTTAAAAGATTGGCTGGCCAGGCCTAGTGGCACACATCTTTAATTTGCCTTCAGGAGGCAGAGACAGTTGCATCTCTGTGAGTTCAAGGCCGAGTCTAGTCGACATAGAAAAGTACAGGCCAATGCCACACAGTGAGATGCTGTCTTTCAAAAAAATAAATAAATAAAAGAAAATGTTGACTGATCTAACCAGGTTCAAAAGACTACTAAGTAGCAATCCCAAAGCTCAATCCAAAAGTGGTTTACTGGCTGTCTGGCCGTGGTGGTAAAGGTCTATAATCCCAGCAGATAGGAGGAAGGAGACTATGGTGTTCAAGGTCATTATGGGCTTCATAGAAGTTCGAAGTGCCTGGCTTGCATAAGACTTAAAAAAATTCAATCCAAGCTGTACACTGATATACAGCAGGTCACTCTCTAATATACAAGGATACTAGTACATAAGATGTTTATTATTTACCTACTCACCAAGAAACTGTCTATCACTATCAAAAGATTTTTAATAGAATGAACATGAAAAAAGACATTTGCAACTTGGAACACAAAGGGCTTGCGTGTAAAGCAGTGAGTGCTGGGAGAATTTGTTCTGAGCTTCATAATCATGCTTCCAGGTGGCATCATTTAGAAGTCATGCAAGAAATACTGAAGGAGAAGTTTTAAAAGACTAAAGACAAAAAGGTCAGTTTGCTACTCTTCCTATTTTTCGAATCTGCACAATTCTGAATGCAGAAAGGATTCAGATCAAAATACTGAGTACAAAGCTATATTCTGTGCTGTGAATGCTATAGAAGGTTCTAGAAACATAAGATAAAGTGGTATAGCAGTTCAATCCTTAAACATCTGGAAAGGTTTAAGAAAAGAAACAAATACAAGGAAAAAACTATTGGAGGAAGGGAATAAAGACTAGCTGCCTTTCTACTTTAATGATGGTGAATTGATATTCTGTTTCTACCCATGAAATATCCTAGGCAAAATAAATACCTACACTTAAGGGGATATTCAGGGACCTAGAAGATGCTGTACAAGCCTTGGCAACCTGAGCTTGATACCTGGGACACACACACACACACACACAAATTTTCAAAGTGACAAATAAAAATTTTAAAAGAATGAGGGCTTCAGTGGCACTGATGAAAATGGGCAAAGCTGCCTGGTAGTTGGACCATCAGGAACAGAAGTGGGGCCTAGCCAAAATAATAAAGAAGGTTGGCTTAGCAAACAAAGAACATGTCACCATCAAGTATATATTTAGTCACTTCTCAAATGATTTTTCCCTATTTTACTTCAATTCTTAATTTAAAATCATGTAGATAATTTGCATCTGTCACTGAGAGTCAAACATCTTCATACAGAAAAGCAGGTGTTCTAAGGAATTAGTAAGTGCAAAAATATCCGTCAGATTGATAGGAAAGATGCTCAAATGGCAGCTGCCTTGTCTGAGTCCAGCAGCCTCAAACCTGCATTTCACTGATATTCTTACCATTCTCTTTCCACAATGTATCTATAGATATTCTTGTTCTTTAAATCACAAATCAATGAAAGCTGATAAAGAACTGTGCAACACCTGAGCACACAATATGCTGTGCTATAGCCAGCAAGGCCTTGAAGTTGTGATTCTCCTGCCTCAGCCACCAAGTAGTTGTACTTCAAGAACAAAAACAAAACAACTAACTTCTGAAAACATTTTAATGCTTATGCAAAAGTAGAATAAAATGTTCTAAAGGATGGTGTGGTAGCAGCACATGTCTTTAATCCCAGCACTCGGGAGGCAGAGGCAGGTAGTGTACTCCCACCCAGTTTTTAAGCTGCCTTGCTACTCTTTTCCCTTTCAGAGAGGATCTCTGGGATGGCGCATCTTCCTTGTCAATTTGACTTAATTTGGAATTACCTACGAGACATACTTCTGGGAATGTCTCTGAGGGTGTTTCCAGAGTGATATAAGGAAGACCCACTGGACGTAAATGGCACTATCCCATAGCTAGGGCCCTGCACAAATGACCGGGAGAAAGTCAGCTAAGCACCAGCATTCCCTGCTCTGTGCTTTCTGGTCTACCCAGATATAAGGAGTCCTACCTAGCTAAATGCTCAAACTGCTATAAACTCTGCCACACTTTCTTCCATCATGATGGAGCATACTCTTATATCTTGAATCATATGGTGATAATAATGAGAAAAGTAGCTAATGCACTAGCTTAGGAGTGTTGAGAGAACTCCTCAAGGCTATGCTGGGGTGCTACATGATGGTTACAGCAAGAGGATTTAGAGGATTTTATCAGACATTAGCAGGAAGAAGACCAGCTCTGTCACTCTCCAGCTGTACAACTTTGAACAATTTCTTAAAGTTTTCATACCTATAATTTGGAAATAAAACTTAAGACTGTTTTGAGGATTACATTAAAATGATGTATATTAGGCAGATGACAATATTTGGCACAAGCTCCTGCTTCTCCATTACAAAGCTGTGATGGGCAGGCCCCTAGCCCCTCCTAGATGATCTGAAACAGTGACGATCCCTTCCAGGAAAGGGTGAGAATCAGACTTGGGCTTTTCCCAACAGTGCCTCAATGGGATTAATCTGGGAAACTCTGCACATCACAGTGTCCTTGTGAAAACTTATAATGCACATTAGTATATTAAAAAGCTCGGAAAATTCTTACAGTAAAGGAACTTATTTGATTTCATTTAAATTTATTTGGTTCTTTGTTTTTCAAAATAACTGCTGCACTTTGCACTTTGCAAATGTCATCCCATCCAGCAAAGAAGCCTGTTAAAATTGCTAGGGGGAAGGGGACAAGGGAGAGAAACATAAGAATATTCTACAATGTCTCACTCCTTCCTAGGTTATAAATAAATAAATAAAAATAAAAAAATTAAAGATTTATTTCAGGGATGGAAAAATGGCTCAGCAGTTGAGAATGCTTGTTGCATACTCATGAGGACTGGAGTTCAAATTCTAGCACTCACGCAAAAAGCCCAGTATTCTGCCAATGCCTGTTACTCCAGCTTCTGGGATCCCACACCCTCTTCTGTCTTCCATGCTCACAACTCATACACACACTGTGCTTGCAGACATACACACAAAGAAGTATTTGCTTAATATCTTTTATTTTATGTGTATGAGTGGTTTCCCTATATGTATGTAAGTGCACCAGCTGCACACCTGGTGTTCTCCAGAGGTCAGAAGAGAGTGTTGGATTCCCAGTGCTCTTAGCAACTGAATCATTTCTCCAGCATCCACTATAGGTATGTTTTAAAAACACACACAATGATCATTCTCATTTTAGTCACACACATGTGTGTTGGATGTAGCATGTATGTGTATTATATGTATAAGTATATTCAGGTGCATACATCTTTGCATGTGTGTGGAGAACGGAAGAGGACGTTGGATATCCTGCTCTATCATTCCTTACTTTCTTACCTTGAGACACAGTCTTTCACTGAACCTGGAGAGAGGCTGGCAGGCAGCAAGCCCCAGCAATCCCTCTCATCTCCTTCCCCATAGCACAGTTTCGGGCAAAGGAAGCCACACCTGCCTGGCTTTTTATGTGGGTTCTGGGGATCTGAACACATGTCCTCTTGTTCGTGCAGCAAACATTCTTACCCACTAAGCCACTTCTCTAGCCCTCAATGCACCTTTATATTTAAATAAACTTTAAAGACAGGATAAGGCACAAAAAGCTAAAGATGAGGGAAAGATTCACAGTCTTTCTGTTGTTTATTTCAAATTTTTGAATAATGTATATTTTAAATAAACTTTTAAGATTTATTTTACTTTAGGTGAATAAGTATTTTGATTGCATGGATGTATGTGCAATACATGTGCTTGTGGAGTCAGAAGAGGGTGCTGAATTCTGTGGAACTGATGGTTGTGAACCACTGTGTGAGTGGTGGGAGTTAAACTCAGGTTCTCTGCAACAAGTGCTCTTAAACACCGAGCCATTGCTCCCACGCCCCGTATTTTTTAATGGCTAATTCACTCAAATGCTTTAAGACGATCAAGAAGGACTCCTCACACATGTACTGAAAGGTCAGAGTTCACTGATATTAATCATTTTTATTGTACCATACAGAACTTAAGTGAATTTGACAGCTGTCACAAGTCTGGGGTCCCTGCCTTAGTCTCACTAATTTCCCATTAATTTCTAGTTTCCCTCTGCTTTTGTGCCATAGGTGCAAACAAAGGTGGAAAGGAATAATAATTATTACTAATACTATAAGAATCGCTCTGATTTCAAAGACACATGAAAGGCATAAGACCCCAAGGTACCCATAGACCAAATGTTAAGAATTTCTATAAATAAATATACTTGGATGCAGAAAGGACAGGAGGAAGGGTGAGGCTAAATAATTTCATGAGATTCAGCCATCTCTGTGAGAAATAAGGAGCTGAGGAACCTATCTGCCTCAAAGCTGAATCTGTACAACAAATTCATCATGTTTACTTAACAGTGTATTAGGAGAGATATGTTTACAAGGAGACATAATAATCATTGAGATTTTTATGTGTTTTCTGATTGTAGAATTTAAGTTACTTCTGAATTATCATGAGCATTCTATACAACATGAGCTCAAACGCAAATTTCTACAGTAATTTCTAAATCTAATTATGGGAGGCTGGTTTCCAGAGGACCCAGTCTGGTTCCCAGCACCTACATAGAAGGCTCACAAGTGATTGTAACTCCTGTCCAGGATATCACACACTCTCTTCTGGCTTTCATGGGTACCCACACACGTGACATACACAAACAGAGACACACATATACCGATAAATAAGTAAACAAATAAAAACAAATATAGAATTTAACATTTTCTTCCATGTAAAATTAAACGGAAAAGAAAATGGTCAAGCTCTTACATGGCCTACTTGTTGAAACACTGCTAAACAAGAAAGGTACACACTTGTCTTATAATACCAGAAAATAACCAAGTGAAATCTTACAGGTATAACGTTGGGACAAATGGACTTCTGTTTAAGTGATTACTAATCAGGGAGGGTGTGTGTCACGGGGTACATGTGGAAGTCATAAGACAACACTGTGGAGTTCATTCTCTTCTTCTATCAGTACATCGGTTCCAGAATCAAGTTTAGGCTGCCAGGCTTTGTAGGACCTTTACGAGCTGAGCCATGTCACCTACCCCAGGACAAAATCTTCTGATTCTATCATTGAGCCCTTGAAAGATAGGCTGAAGCTGGGCGGTGGTGGCACACGCCTTTAATCCCAGCACTGGGAGGCAGAGGCAGGCGAATCTCTGTGAGTTCAAGGCCAGCCTGGTCTACAGAGCGAGATCCAGGACAGGCACCAAAACTACACAGAGAAACTCTGTCTCGAAAAACAAACAAACAAAAAACAACAACAACAAAACAAGATAGGCTAAAGAATAACACACATGTTCAAAGTGCAGATATTCATTAACAATTCCTTACAATAAAAAAATTTTCTTCTTATGTAATCAAAACCCTGTTGGAGGTGAGAAAAATTGAATTAGAAACTGTTTAAATAAAGCAAATTTCATAAACTCTAATTATTGAGTCATGTATCCTAACAACTCATGCTATAAAATTGACTTCAAATCATACAAGTCAAATTTTATAAAAGCAAAATGATAAACAAAGTCAACTTACTCGGTCTGCCAGTCCTCCAGGAACAATAGTTCTCACCACCACGCCACTTGACTTTCCTCCAACTATCCCAAACCCTAATCCAGAGCCATCATTAATGAGCTCAACATCTTCAGTGTGGCCCCAACACACCTGCAAATGAATGGCAGGACAGAGCCAGTGTTGGTAAAGCACATTCCTATATGGTAATATATAACACATACTACCCACAACCTAGTACAGGGTACATAGGGAACCAATGAATATGCATTTGCTGAAAGACAGGCAGACTATTACAAAGATTTCAGGGAGCTGGGGGAAAGGAAGGGTCATAAAAAATATATACCAATGAAGAATCCTGAAAAGCTGAATGAAAGTAGAAATTTAAATTTTACTACAAGTACTAATGGCACACACCTGTGATCCCAACACTCATGAGGTGGAAGCAGGAGGATCAGGAATTAACAGCCAACCTCGGCTACATAGTGAGGTCAAGGAAAACCTAAACTACACAAGACCATGCTCATAGAAATAAATCAATGTAATACAAAGAAAGCAAGCATTCAATAAGAGGGAAACACAAGAACAAAGCTGGGCCAGACAACAGAATGAGGCAAAGGTTGGAAAGAATAACAAGACTAAAGCAGTGACTTAGGAAAATTAATCTGTCAGCACTGTGAAGAACCAAAGGTTAATACTCTGACTAAAAAGTGTAGGGAGAGTGAAGTCCTGAGTGAACATGTACTGCTTGACATGGGCATAGCCGTATCAAGGACCCATGTCTCAGGCTCAGGGAAATGACAAAGTTTTCCTCCGGTCCACATGCAGACATTGATAGTGTGTGCAGAACATGTCCACCATAGCTTTTCCAGAAGCTCTCCCACAGAGACTGCTCCCACAGATCAGCTAAGTCTTTCTCCTGTTCTGCTGCATGCAATAGCCCTAGCTCCCTGTTCAACTGCATACAATGATCACGTTGAGCTTCCAGGGTGCTGCAGCTTCGCCATCAAACAGCCCAGTCCACCCAATCTCATCGTTTTGTGCACCATGTGTCTGTGTGTCAGTTCTTTCCTCATTTCCTCATTGCCTCCCAGTCAGGGTTCCCAGACTCATGCAAGGATGTGGCAGACTAGAACACTTATCAGGGAAGACAGAGGCTCACTCAACTCAAAATACTAGCAACATAATCATACAAAAAGACATAAGCAATTTTCCTCTATCAGACTCTGTGACAAATGCACATACCTTCATATAATTCAACTGCAGAACAAAATCTCCCATGAGATAATGCAGTCATCTTCATTAGTTAATTTTTCTATTCTACAATATTACCAAGCCTGAACCAGCCATCTTCTGCAACCAGGCAAGGCTTCCAGTGGAGGAACTGAGACACCAACCCAGCCACAAAACCTTCAACCTGCAATCTGTCTTGCCTACAAGATGTGCTAGGTAAAAGTGGCACAGAACTTCTCGGAGTGGCTAACCAATGACTGGTCCAACTTGAGACCCATGCCACAAGAGGGAGGCTCTCCTGCCTGGAGAGCCAGGAACCACAGGCTGAATAGCCTAGAGACCTATGACAGAACCAAACATGACTGGCAACAACTACAACAAAAAGTCAATGAAATATCCCTAATGATATTCTGCTATACTCAAAGACTAGACCTAATTGTCATCAGAGAGGCTTCCTCCAGCAACTGCTATGAACAGATGCAGAAACCCACAATCAAACATTGGGTGGAGATCCAGGGAACCCCAAAGAAGAGGGGGAGGAAGGAGCCAGAGTGGTCAAGAACATCATAAGAACATGGCCCACAGAATTAACCAACCAGGGCTCATAGGGGCTCAGGGAGACTGAACTGACAATCAGGGAGCCTGCATGGGACTGACCTAGGCCCTCTGCATATATGTTACAGTTGTGTAACTTGGTCCTCTTGTGGTACTCCTAACAGTGGGGGTGGGTCCTTTCTCTGCTTTTGGGACCTTCTTCTTCCTACTGGATTGCCCTGTCCAGTCTTGATATGAGGGTATGTGCCTAGTCTTATTGTATCTTGTTATGCTATGTTTGGTTGATATCCATGGGAGGCTTGCTCTTTTCTGAAGGGAAACAGAGGAGTAGGGGAGAAGGAGGGGAAGACCGGGGTGGGGGGGTGGGGGGAGGAAGGAGGGAAAACTGTGCTTGGGATATAATATATGAGAGAAGAACAAATATTGAAAGAAAGTTAACTGTGAAGTAAACAGGAGTATTGGAAATATTTAAGACATTCATGTCTGGAACAATACCTACAATCTTAGATACAATGTTTTTTAAAATAAAATTGAAGAGAAGATGGCAGCTACCATTCACAGTGTTCACTGGTACCAGAAACTGCCAGTTAGTCATAAACCTACCTTCTCTTCACATCTCTAAGAAGTAGATACCATTACTGGTTCCACACAACAGTGAAGAAACTGGAAGCGGGCATGGTGGTCTATGCCTGCACCCCAACATGTTGGGAGCAGCAGCAGGAGGGAATTCAAGGCGGTCTCGGCTATGCAGCATGTTTGAGCCAGCCGGGGTACATGAGACCCTGTCTCAATATTTAAAAGTTAAAAGAGGAGGAGGAGAAGGAATAAACTAATAGGCATGTAAAGGACATGTAAAGGATCTGGTGGGATACAACCAGGGAGGGGTGGCAATGGATTGGAAAACACCAAAGCCTGACTCCAGAGCCTGCATTCTGCACATGCTAAGCAAGGTCCCACTTTGTTCATCCTATTTATCATACAAACTGTGCTGCATCAATATTACAGATTATAAGGAAAATGCTTACCTGTTAGTTTGCGTTGTGACCTTTGCTTTATCAGTCTATTAGTTCCCTTTTGTCCCAACAAACGAAAATTAAATAAACAAAGTAGCACTCGGTGTTACAAGAAAGTAAGACTTATGCCAAGGCATGGAGGCTCACATATAAATCCAGTATTTGTGAGGCGGAGGTAGAGGATCACAACTTCAAAACCAGCCTGATCTCCAGTGAGTTCCAGCCCAGCTAGGGTCACATAGTGGGATCTTACCTCAAAAACGAAAACAAAACCAAAAAACCTTACAACAATAGCAAAACAGACTTTGTTTTCACTCTGAAGACACAGGCCACAATCGGCAAGATGTTGGCTGGGGAGATGGCTCAATGGGAAAAGTGCACACCCCACCTGCAGAATGACCCGAGTTCAAATCCCACACACCAATAAAAGCTGATGTGTGGCACAAACTTGTGACTTCAAGGTGAGGGTCCCGGTCCTTCCAGGCTAGCTAAAAGTCTGAGCCTCCAAGATTAATGAGACCATAACTCAGAAGACAGTGACATTGCCATCAACTTTGGGCTCCACGTGCCCACGGACAGGTAAGCACACCTGCCTGCACATGCATGTGCACACGTACAATTTGTTTCTTTGGTTTTTGAGACAGGGTTTCTCTGTGTAGCCCTGGCTGTCCTGGAACTCACTCTGTAGACCAGGCTGGCCTCAAACTCATAAAAATCCACCTGCCTCTGCCTGAGTGCTGGGATTAAACCCAATTTTTACATTTTTAAAATTCATAAAATGTAACAAGCTTAAAAGATAAAAGAGACATTGATTTTTTTTTCAAGACAAGAGACAACTAAGGACAGAAAGATGGGGCTCCACAGGTACAGGTGCCTGCTTCCCAGCCTGACAACGTGACGATTTCCCGGACCCACATGGTGGAAGTAAAGAACCAACTCCCACTAGTTGCTCTCTCCTTTCTATGCACACTGTGGCATGCTTGTCCCCACTCACACACACAAAACAAAAATAGATTTTTTGTTTTGTTTTCCAAGAAAAGGTTTCTCTGTGTAGCCCTGGCTGTCCTGGAACTCACATAGATCCACCTATCCCTGCCCACTGAGTGCTGGGACTACAGGTGTGTATATCAACACCCCGACCCAACACTGAATTTTTAAGTGACATTTGTTTTTCTTCTTTTTAAACTTATATGAAAAAAATGACTGCAATGATTTTATAAACTCAATAATCTAGTCATAAACTACTATAACTCATAAATATGAGATTTTTAAAAAATAAATAACCACATCTTCTTAAGATAGTCAACAGTAAGCTTCTACTAAAACCTCTGCAACTCATAGGTACAGTGGCACACACCCACAATCCTACCACTCAGGAGGCTGAACCAGGGGAATTGTGAGTTCAAGGACATCCTGGGCTACATTGCAGGTTCCCCTCTCCCCCTACACACAGATTAACTTATTATGACATCAAAGAACACAAGACATCTTAACACCAAGTAAGTTAAAAATAATATTTAATTTGGCCCCTATATTAAACAATAATCTTCAATAAGGAAACAAACCAGACATTAAAAAGACAAAAACAAATCAAATTCCTCCAATAAACATCTTGTAATATTGCCTTTGGAGATAAGATCACCTTTATTGACCTAGAATAATGGGAAGGACTTCCAACGACTACCAACTATTCTTATAGTGAATAACAGAATTTAGAATAAATATGTTTCCAAGCTTATGACTCACCGTTTCAGGCAGAGACGTATCAGCTGAGCTGGTGGAAGTGTGGCCTTGTGTGTGGCCCACTTCCCTGGCCACGACCAGACGCAGAGACCCAGTGGCTTGTTGTAGTAATGCAATTGCCTGCTGATGGGAAATATTCTGATCCAATGGGGTGTCATTAATGGCCAAAATCTGGTCATTTTCCTTCAATCTTTGATCTCTAGTCATACAAGAAAAGAAGAATTTGTTTTATGTACTGTGACAACCTGAACACACTCACACAGCTGGCTCTAGTGTCCCTCTATAAATCAGGGCTCCACTAGCACCCATGCTCCTCTTACACCATCCTATGTCATATTAACACTGTCGTTTTACTCAAGACACTGAAACTTGAAAAATTAAGTCACTTGAGCAAGACTGGACAGCTGAAGAGAAAAAGCAACATCCAGCCTTAAACTACAAGACTTCTTTGACTAATCTTCTTTGAGCCTCTCTTTGGAACAAACTGGCCTTGAACTCACAGAGATCCGCCTGCCTCTGCTTCCCGAGTGCTGGGATTAAAGGCGTGCACCACCACCACCACCACCACCAGGCCTAGGGGAAACATTCTGGATGACAAGATATCAACAGGGTATTTAGAAAGGTTTTTACCATGGTTCCAATGTCCGTGCCTCTAAACTCCTGTGGAAATTTTATTTTGTATTGTAAAGTATCAAAACATGGGACTTCAGGCTGTAAGGACTATCCACTCATGGATAAGATTGGTGTCTTCATGAAAGGCACGTTAGTTCCTTGTTACCCTGCTTCATTTTGCCTACCACCACGTGATGAAACAGCAAGAAGCCCAAGCCAGTTGTAAACACCTTGACATGGTCTTCCCAGCTTTCAGAGCTGTAAGCCAATAAATCTCTGTTCATGACAAGTTCTGAAACCTCAGGCATTCAGTTATAGCAAAATGAACTAAGACTGAGCCTCCCAGTCATCTTTGAAAGGAGCGGAGACGTAAATGCTGAATGCAGGAACACATGTCTGTGTGCACTGACAGCTCACTGACTACACAGCAGAAAGTCAAGCTGCACGGAAGACTCACTCTCACATTACAGATGGGAGCATCATGTATCAGACCATCCAACACACACAGTCAGGAAGGACAACCGAGATATTATTCCAGCACTTCCCACGATGTTCCACAACTTTCTAGATAGATGCTGTTGTAAAAAAGCAAGTTGTTGCCAGAAAATGAAAGGAGGAAGAAGTTGGGAGTGACTGTCAACATATACAACAGGATGGGAGCTCTTTATCTAGTTGATGAAATTTCTAGAATTTTTACTATTTCTAGAATAATTGGAATGATTGCAAAACACTAAGTATATTAAACATCACTTCAAAATTGTATGCTTCAAAATGTAAGGTTTATACTATTTGGATTATAACCCAGTAGATCTATTATTTTAAATTTTGAGTTAAAGAGACTAGAAGTAATCATCTATAAACAGGAAATAAATGTGAAAAAAAATTATGGACAGAATTTTGTAATCATATCCTGCCACACTGCTATTATTCTACCAGGAACATCTGAATAGTGAACTTAGGGAATGAGTCATAAATCAAAGACTAGAAATCAAAGAGACAAAGACTTTGTGTGGAACCCCTCGTATAACAGCAGGCACATGTGGAGATGGTGGGATTAAGGAACCTCTAGAGAGCTAACCAGCACTAGCTGCTATCATTACTGTTTTTATTGCTAGTTTCTTACTCTTCATAGGAACATATTCAGAGCTGTCAAGAAAACATGAGCCAAGTTCAGAATGAACTTCCTCACCTGTCTGCTACGCTCCCTGGATGGACTTCCTTCACAAAGATATCAATTAATCCCAGACTTTGGCTTCTCAGGGCCACCACACTGAATCCAAGGCCACCAGTTGAAGGGCGTTCTATATCTATATATTCAACATGCCGGCCCTAATGAAGGGGGAAGTCAGAAAAGGAAAAAAACAAAAAACCATAATGTGCATTTAAACATCACCTTCCACAGAACTGAAACTGTGCAGCATACAGTGGCTTCTCCTAGGTTATCACTGTCAGTCTAAACATGCTCAGGGTTTTGGTAATATAATAATATAATAATATAATAATATGCTGGCTCTGGAAACCTTTTAACTTGACTGTTTCCAGCATAGCACAGAGTACAGCACTGAGAAGCATTTTACAATTCATCCACATTATGAGATCGATTCTGGACTGGACAAAAATTGAAAACAAACACCCTTTCCCACAGTAAACTCTCAATTACTTTGTACATAAATGTCATTAAATTCTCTTGATGCAAAACACATTTTTAAAAAGGAAAGAAAAATCAGATATGCCAGAAGCATGCTTGTGTTCAACCTAGTCACAACCAGCTGCATTTATATCATTGTTTTAAATTCTTTAGCAATGAATTAATACTCCATTCACTTGATCATTTCAAACGTTACAGAGTACCAGGACTGCAGAGTATTTTACCATTTTAGTTACCAACTGCCTGTACGATGTGAGAGCTTCATAAACATAATCAAATCACAAGTGTATCACACAGTGCAGCTGGAGCTTAAAGTCATTAAAGAACTAGAATATTTTTCCACCAGCATGACTTGAAACAAATTCTTTTACATTCTCAAGCGCAAATCTATTTATTTATTTACTTACTGACTGACTTATTTTCCTCTCTTTTGGTTTTTTGAAACAGAGTTCTCTATAGAGTCCCAGTTGTTCTGGAACTCACTATGTAGACCAGGCTGGCCTTGAACTCATAGAGATCTTCCTGCCTCTTCCTCCCAAGTGCTGGAATAAAAGGGTCTGTACCTCCAAACCCAGCTTCTTATTTTTAATATTGACTTTATTTTGAATGATGGGTATGGGTACAAGTCTGTGCATTGGTATGTGCATATGAACTGCCTACTGAGACCAGAAGAGGGCTTGGGTCTCTGTAGCTGGAGTTATAGGCATTTGTGAGCCACTCAATGTGAGTGCTAGAAACCAAACTCAAACCTTCAACAAGAAATTCTAAATTTTCTTAAAAAATTTAAAAACTTCAGTTGTCTATCATTTACTTCTTGGTAGGTATTAGGGGCTACAGTTAAATTATCCATTCTAATGTTTTCCTAGATTTTCCACATTATATTAATTGTAATTCACAAATTCTGTTTTGATAAAAAATTAAAACAAATTTTCTTATAGTGTTTTGTTTTGTTTTCTTTTGTTTTGCTTTTTTGGGGGGTGGGCATTGAGACAGGGTTTCTCTGTGTAGCTTTGGTGCCTTTCCTGGAACTCACTCTGTAGCCCAGGCTGGCCTCGAACTCACAAAGATCTGTCTGCCTGTGCCTCCCAAGAGCTGGGATTAAAGGTGTGCACCACCACCGCCTGGCTTGCTTTCCTTTTCTTTTCAGACAGGGCATCACTATGCAGCTCAAGCTGGCCTCAAACTGGAGATCCCCTGCATCAGTCTGCGGAATGCTGGGCTACAGGCTTTTGCCAGCATGCCCTACTCTTCTGTAATTTAATGACAAGTTCCAACACACTGGTTAGGAATAGTGCCAATTCCTCCTACCAATATAAAAATATAAGCAAACAAAATACATAGTAACACATTTTAAAACAAAAAGAATAAGTCTCCTTTTTAAAGTGAAACAGAAGAAAAACTAATGAGCTAAACACTCAGTGACACGACATAACCTTACCTGAGCCATCTGCTGAATGACTGAGTTAAAGTCTTCATTTCCTGACTTTGGGGTCCAAGGAAATAATCCAGATGCAGTTAAATTACTACAAGGTCTGTGGGCGCTCCCATTTGTAATGGAACCATCCGTGAACACTAACAAACCCTTTCGAGAAAATTCAAAGTTGGCTGAACAATCCGAGGGAATATGGCTAAGCTATTGGAGAAAAAGAAAAGAAAATCATCAGCAAAAATCTATAGAAAAGAAACAATCTCTATCTATTGCATTATATATGTAATTTATATACATATTAAAGAAGTAAAGGGGCAGCATGGTGGCACATGACTTTAAATCCAGTATTCAGATGCACAAGCAGGAGGATCTCTGTGAGTACAAGGTCAACCTGCTCTATATTTAGCAAGTTACTGGCCAACCAGGACTTCAGAGTAAAACTCTTTCTTAGGGGGGAAGGCAGGGAGGGAGGGAGAGAGGCAGACAGGGAGAGGGGAGAAAGGAAAAGTAAAAGGTAGGGGTGTGTGTGTGTGTGTGTGTTTAGAATAATGCAACATTAATAACAAATGTCATGGAGGATGGAGAGGTGGCTCAGTGGTTAATAGCACTTGCTACTCTTCCAAAAGATCTGGGTTCAATTCCTAGCACACACATGGTGGCTCACAACCATCTCTAACTCTAGTCTAGGGCATCTAACACTCTCTTCTAGCCTCTACAGGTACCAGGCAAACACAAGGTGCACAGATCTATAATAATTAAGCAAAACATCCACATACATTTAAAAAATAATAAATGTGAAGATGGTGTCCTCTATGTATAACAAAGAGCTGCACCCATGGAATCCTTACCTTACAATATGGTCACCTAAACAAGATCTACATAATGACAACGCCACCTGACGTCCCTACATGGATAGGGAGAATCTCAGAAGGCCCCACCCTAGATGAGTTAGAGCCAATTAATGGCTGCTAAAAGAGAGAGCGAGTCAGTCTTCTTCAGGGACAGCCCCCTGATAGATTAAAAATCCAAAATAGTCATCCCTCAACACATATACATATGAGCAACACTAAATGGGCCCAGCAGACTGTATTCACGTGTGTGTGTGTGTGTGTGTGTGTGTGTGTGTGTGTGTGTGTGTGTATGAATAATTAAAGGCGAATAGTAATTAAAGGAGAAGAGGTCATGAAGTTTAATGAGAGCAGGAGGACACGGGAGAGGTTGGAAGGGTGAGAGTATAAGGTAGAAATGTTATAAATTGAGTACTTATATAAGAAGTTCTCAAAAAATAATAAGGGCCTGGCACAGTGGCACAAGTCTTTTAATCCCAGCACTTTGCAAGTATAAGCAAGTGGATCTCTGTGAGTTCCAGGACAGTCAGGGCTATACAATAAAGACCCTGTCTCAAATAAATAAACAATGAATAATAAAATTAATGTTTTAAAAAAGAATAAATGTCAGATTCAAACAAGATCAAGCTAAGATGATCAGTCAACATTCCAACAGACATCACTAATTGGATTCAGTGAGTTTAAAAAAAAAAAAAAAAAAAGATGCCGGGCGGTGGTGGCGCACGCCTTTAATCCCAGCACTCGGGAGGCAGAGCCAGGCGGATCTCTGTGAGTTCGAGGCCAGCCTGGGCTACCAAGTGAGTTCCAGGAAAGGCGCAAAGCTACACAGAGAAACCCTGTCTCGAAAAACCAAAAAAAAAAAAAAAAAAAAAAAAAAGAGGTGGATGAAGTGGGGAAAGGGATATACTGGAGGCACCTGGGGAAAAGGGGGTAGAAGCTGGGGAAAATATGTTCACAATATACTGCTTACTTGTGTGAAGTCAACAAAGAATAAAGACAGACAATCTACTATTAAATAAATGGCAAGGGCCAGGAGAGGACTCTGAGTACGAGCACTTGCTATGCAATCCTGATGACCTGAGGTCAGATTCCTGAAACCCAGGCACACATGGAAGGTCAGCAACAGTACCTCAGACTGTTCTCAGGCCTCTGCATGCACCCTCCCACACAAGCATGTACGTTCATCATATACACAGGAAAATCAATCAACCAACATATGAGTTCATTAAAAAGAGAGAGTAGGCAAGATGCTCAGAGGATAAAGGCACTTGATGCCAGGCCTGATGATGACCTGAGTTGGATCTTTGGACCCTCATTGCATAAGGAGGGAGCCAACTTCCACAAGTTGTCCTTTGAGTGCCACACATGCTCATATACATACTACACACATACATACACACACTCACACAACATAAAATGTAATGACAATGTAAATAAACAGATAATAAATGTCAAGAATGGAGGGCAGTGGTAGAGTTCCAGCATACAGAAAGCCCTGGGCTCAATCTCAACACCATGTAACAAAGAAATAAAGGTAGAAGCTATTGTGTAATTGTGAAGAAAATGTTGAGATCTTTAAACCCAACATAAACTTCATCAGCACTTATAGCATCCACCAATGCTGCCCACAGCTTGCTAAACTAAGAGTTACAATCCTCCCACACCCCTCTGCTGATCTGAAGCCTTCGAGGTGAGGCTGAAGAATAACGTACTTGTCCCTTCAGCTGCTTGATGGACTGCTGGAGAGTAAGGATCTGGTTGAAGAGAGGACTCTTCAGCGTCTCATAAAACGCAGACAGCTTCTCATTCTGCGTCGTGTCACCCTTCTCCTGCAATTTCACTCTCAGGCGATCAAGGACCTGCAAGACCTGCATTTTCTCTTGGTTGGAGAAAGGTGATCAGACCTCAAGTTAGACACCATCTCATAATCTACTTTTGAATCAAGTAATTTAACAATAAAAATACATAGCTTCTATACCTGCAGCAGGATTTTCAGGCATTTTAGATTATCCTTTTCAATCACTTTCAAAAAGCCTAAAGGAAAAAATTAACATTAATTATAGAAGTTTGTCTGCAGTCCTACAGGGGAAACTAAAGCAAACTTCAAGAACACTCTTTGTCCAGACTGTATTGGTGAAATTCAAATTAAAACCACATAAAAGCATCATCAACGCATCAGATGGGGAAATTTTAAAAAGACCAGAGTAAGTGTTGGCGAGACTACAAAGCAGCTAGAACTATCATGTATGGTTAGTCAGGAAATAAAATAGCACATCACTTTGGAAAATTATTTAGTAATTTATTTTTATGAATATTTTGTAATTTAAATCATAAGTAGTTTCTTATAAAGTTAACAATGCACTAATTATATAATCTACATCTTCTTCTCATAAATATTTACCCAAAAGAAATGAAAATATGACCTGTATGTGAAACTATATAGTATGATTTGTAAAAGGCCCCAACTAGGAATACCGAGATGCCCAATCATAAGCAAGTGGATAAAAAAATAAATGTTACATAAATATAACATTCAGGGGGAAAGTTGCTGACACATACAATAAGGATGAATCCCGAAAATAGTGTGCTGGAGGGTGGCGTTGGGGGTAGGGATGTGGTTCAGGTGGTAGAGTCCTTGACTATTATGCAGGAAGCCCCAGGTTCCATCCCAGCACCACATAAAACAGATTACAAGTGGTGCATAACTGTTATCCCAACATTTGGAAGGAGGACCCGGAGTTCAAGGCCAGATTAGGCTACAAGAGATGACATGTCAACAACAAAACCAGTAAGGCTGTCATCAGCACTGGTAAAGGTCCAAGCAGTCTATGCAAATGTTCCTCGGTGGGAAAATTCCCCAAAGACCTGTGAACAGAGCATCTCAGAAACACTCCTCATGTGCTCAGCATCACCAACTGCACAACCCTCACAACGATTGAACAGGAAGCTATAAGAACAGGATAGCCAGGACAGTACCATCCTTTTCTAGATGAGCACAGAGCCCAAAACCAATCTGAAGGCCATTAATCAATCCATATTGATAAAGCAAAGAACGCAAGCTCAAAACTGTAAGATGCCATTGTTATAGCTGAATGGCAACTTGTCAAGGACTAGTGCATTAAAAGAACAGCAAGAGCCTGTACCCAGAAATCTCTGAAAACCAGGCGGGAAGACTTCACAATCTTTTAGGACAATTTAATGCCTACAAATATAGAGGTGTATATTTAATTTACATTCTCTTTTCCCAGAATTTCAATTTCTGGGTCTCGGTCTCTCTCTCTCTCTCTCTCTCTCTCTCTCTCTCTCTCTCTCTCTCTCTCTCTCTCTCTCTCTCTCTCTCTCTAAGGGCACAATGATGTACATACATGAGTAGTTTTTACATTCTTTTTACACAGAAAAACTCCTGCAAAAGTCAATTATCACCAGTCACTGAAAAGATAGATTAACCCTGAGTATGCTTAAGAGTGCAGGAAAAAATGTCACAGTAAGTGGCTCTCTCCTTCCCAAACTGTAGGCCTCTTCGCAAACACCTTTATTTTAAAATGTCAGGTATACAGTCTGAAAATCCATGGATTCCTGGGGCATGGCTGGCTGGGAAACAGGAAACAGAGACATTTTGGGTTTGCATAAGTAAAGAAAGGCTTATGGAAATAAAGGCTTCTAAGACAAAAAAGGTTTCCTTGAGTTCCAGGCCAGCAAGACTTAATCTGAAAGAAATACATAAAAATAAAATAACTATGTAAAAACAAATTTAAAAAAGAAGGGCTTCTTTCAGAAAAGTATTTCTGTATATGGTTCTCAAATTTTTCCAGATTTTTTAATGATTTATTTTTATTTTTTATGTGCATTGGTGTTTTGTCTGCATGTCTATCTCTAGGAGGATATCAGATCCCCTAGAACTGGAGTTACAAACAGTTGTGAGCTGCCATGTGGGTGCTGGGAATTGAATCCAGGTCCTCTGGAAAAGCAGCCAGTGCTCTTAATGTCTGAGACATCTCTCTAGCCCCAGTTTTTGTGTGTGTGGTTTTTTGGTTTTTTAAGTATGCCACTTTAAAAAAGAAGTGTCTCCAAGCGATTGAAAGCAAATATTTAAAAAGCAATTACTGGATTAGACACAATCATCGCCACCAGTCTAATCCTCCCTGCCCCCCACCCAAGAGTCGTGGATCAGAGCCTTACACACACTAGGAAAGCACTGTGCAGTCAACCCACATGCCCAGCCCCGTCGTACTTCCTTAAAAGCCATAATTATGTGCCGACAGGTCATGTTTGGTTACCATGTGATTAAACTATCTAATTCTACAGAGCAGGCTGTGTGATTCTGACCACAATGAACTAGTAAGAGGATAAATCTTCTCTAAGTTTGAGAGATTTGTGATTCTACATGACGTTCCTAACAGGCGGCAAGTATTCTTTGAACTTCATTATTCTCTCCTGTTCAAAAAAAGAACATATTACTGGCATCAAAATCATCTACTTGCCAACAAACCACTTACTATTCAAAATAAACATGTTCTGAGCCTGAATTTTACTTCAGTGGACAAACAAAAGAATTTCAGTAAGATGCTGCAAAATGCACTCAGAGGTGATTTCCTATGATTTTATCAAACAGAGGACTTGAAGCATGCTGGCAGTGTGCTGTCAAGTGCAGGAAGTGACATTCTTGAGAGTTTTACCTGCTGTCTGGGGATCCTTCAGAATGGACAGCTATCTGTGTCTAACTTCTGCTGTACAGTTGGAACTGAGTTAGATCTTGAATTCACATGAGACCAGAGCATGCCGGAAAACCCACCCTTTGTATAAAACAGGAAAGTTGTACAACATGCCCAAGTGATGGGAATAGCTGCATTTAGGGGAATATTTGCATTATTTACATACTTCTATAAGAAAAAAAATGTACATTGAGAAATTTTTCTAGAAAAACATTTAGGAAGTAATAGTGATTGCTTCCAGAAAATAGAAAAGAGGAATTTAAAAGTTAGTCTTTGGGGGATGAGGTTATAACTCAGTGGCAGAACATATGTTCAGCATGCATGAGCCCTGAATTCAATCCCCAACACTACAGAAAAATATTAAAACAAAAATTACCCTCTTTTATGTTATAGATTTCAGGATTGTTTGAATTTTTATTCAAAATATATGGATTAAGAATTAGTCAGTGGTAGAATATTTATCTAGCATGTGTGAGACTCTAAGTTTGATTCTCCACTACTACAATAAATTAAACAAAAAAACAGTACTAATTTTGCAGTTTTAAATCAGTGGTGAAAGTGACAGGTGTGGCACCACACAGGTGTGATCCCAGCAATCCGGCGACAGAGGCAGGACGATTCAAGTTTGAGAGCAGGCTGGGCTACACAATGTGACAGACCTCATCGCAAAAAGTGACAAAAACAAGTTGAGCATAGCAACATGTATGCCTATAACCTCAGAACACCAGAAACTGAGGCAGAAGGATCTTGAGTTTGATGTCAGTCTAGGCTATAAAATAGACCCAACCTCAACAAATAAGAAAAGGTAAGTAAATATAGTAAAAGTAACAAAAAGATAATGGCTAAGAGGGTCTAACAAGAACAAGATATAAAGCAAGACAGCAACACCATAATGGGATCATCACACTGCAAGGAAGAAAGGAAGAAAGAGGAGGAGGGAGAAAGGGAGAAAAAAGAAAAGAAAAAAATCCTTTCACTTTAAAAGAAAAGAGGGGTGGGTAGAAAAGTGAAAATAAAATGACCGTTTTTGTTCATTTGCATAGGATAAGCTCAAGTCTCAGGCACTGCTAATGACATAAGACAGGGTCAGTGAGTCTCAAACTTTGCTCTCCCATCAGAATCACCTGTAGCACCTGTCAAACCTCAAGTTACTGGACCTTGCTTAGTGCTTTTTGTAGTAGGTCTGATGGGTCCTGAGACTTGCATTGCGGACAAGCATTCATGTGAGCCTGGTGCTGCCAGCACAGAACCCACAAATTAACCACATACAGGTTTAGGGTGTGCCCTTGTTAGAACACAACATATCTAGTCACACTGGAGTGAGAGCCTACAGAGGCTATCTAGTGAGAAGAGTAGTTAAAGTTAGGCTACAGCCAAATTATCTCTGTCTCTGTTTATGTGCATTATGTGTCTCTCTCTCTCTATTAAAGTAAGTCATAAAAGTATTGTGAAGTTTAATTGAGAAATGTAGGCTTAGGTATATTGAGTAGAATAGGCTTTAGGTATAGGGATATTGTGAAGGCTTAGGTATAATAGTAACTTAAGAGTGGAGTAGGTTTTCCCAGGTGGGACCTGGGACGCACAAAGGAGCATCTAGGATTGAGCAGCCATTGTGGACTTAGCTGTGGTGATATTTTATCTGTGTACCCAAATAAAGTTTATCTGAGGATCAGAGGAAGAAGCCAGCCACTATAGTAACCATAGAGGTCAGACAATGGTAGCACGTGCCTTTAATCATATCACTCCGGAAGCAGAAATTGGTCTGGATCTCTCTGAATTCAAGGCCACACTGGGAACAGAGCCAAGTGTGGTGGTACATAGCTTTAATTCCAGCACTAACCATAAAGGTCTGGAGGCCTGTACAGACAGACAGGAAGTGACAAAGCTGGGGAAGAAGAGGAAGTGATGTAGCTAGGCAGAGAGAAGAAATGAGACGGCAGAACAGAAAGGCATATAGACTTGGGTATACAGGAAGTAGCTCTCTTTGGAGACTGAGGCGTCTGTAAGGTGAAGTTGGTGTGGCTTTTGTTATTCCTCTGATCTCTCAGGTTTTAACCCCAATATCTGGCTCTGGGTTTTTTATTAATAGGACCTTTTAGCAATCCATCTTATATCTGGCGGTCCAACGTTTGTAGCAAGAATTCATTAAAAAGCAGTTTGTGGCCTTACAGGCCTCTGGCTCAGGCCCAAGCTGCATGTGGTCAGAGTCTCCACCCTACGTGGGCTGGAGTCTCTTTGGCTTTTTCTCTCCTGGTGAGTGGTGGGCTCTATCTGGATTCTCATCTTGGACTGCTACCACCCTAGGTAGCTGCTTTGAAACCC